GCCCTCAGCAGTTCTGGAGTGCGGCCCACGAGTCTGCATTTCTGTCCAGCGAGCTGCTGCCGTTCGTCTGCAGGCCCCTCTCTGAGCAGCAGGGCACTAGGGAACACAAGGAAGAGATGGATGTCTTCACCGAGAACAGTTTAAAAGACACAGTTCTAACCTGATTACCCAATTTTGCAGCAGATCAGAAAAGCTGCTAGTGGTAGAAAGGACTATGGTAGGACGTTACAGCACACAGGACAACAGAAGACAGAAAAACAAAGGGCTCTGGCCAGGTAGCTGAGCTGGTGAGAGCGTCCTTCTGATACACCAAGGTTGCGGGTTCCATCTCTGGTCAGGACACATACAAGAATCAACCAATGAATATATACATAAGCGGGATAACAAACAGATGCCTCTCTCTCTCTCTCCCTCCCCATTCCTCTCTCTTTCTCTAAAATCAATCAATAAAATGTTTTTTAAAAAAAATCTTTAAATCCAGACTCTCAAGAGTCATTTGGCATGGAGTCTATAAACTATCCTATACACCTGACTCATATTAAATGAGAATAAGATAAATTAACTACTAAAGAATGAACTACTGCCGAAACCAGTTTGGCTCAGTGGATAGAGCGTCGGCCTGCAGACTGAAAGGTCTCAGGTTTGATTCTGGTCAAGGGCATGTACCTTGGTTGCAGGCACATCCCCAGTAGGAGATGTGCAGGAGGCAACTGATCGATGTTTCTCTCTCATTGATGTTTCTAACACTCTATCTCTCTCCCTTCCTCTCTGTAAAAAATCAATAAAAAATATATTTAAAAAAAAGAATGAACTACTAATGAACCTTGGCACTTACATAATATCTTAAGAAAAACAGGCATAAAAATATAATAAAGAATTAAATATCATTGGCTTCTATCATTCCCCCTATGTCCTTTAACTTATCATTGAGAAAGTTAGCTTCTCAATGATATTAGTAATGTGTTTACGGCCTTACAGTAAATTACACAATACTTGTGAAATCTTTTCTTCTTTTATTCATTGGTGGGATAGACTACAATGCAGTTAATCTTTCTGGGGAAATTTGTCAAATTCTTTTTTAAGTGACTAACACCTGAAATGTTCGAAATATCTTTCTCCAGAATACCAATCAGATTGCCATAAATCAGTGTCACTAATGGGAATGAATGAAAAATATTCTTCCTCTCTCTCCTTATTGCACAATTTCTTTTATGCTAAAAACAGATGTGGATCACTTCAGAGAATTTAATGGATTTTACAGGAAAGATGAAATGTTTCAAAAACATGTTTTGGAGGTTTGTACTAAATGAAATTTGAAATTACTGGAGCTAAAAATATTCAACTTTTTACCCTAGAAATGGATCACATACAATGACTAAAAAAAAAACCAACACAACAACAACAAAAAACCCCAGTAAATTAATCTTTAGAAAGACAAAATAATATAACCTAACTAGAGGCCCGGTGCATGAAAATTCATGTACTGGAGCAGGGGTCCGTCAGCCCAGCCTGCCCCTTCTCACAGTCCGGGAGCCCTCAGGGGCGAGTGGCGATGCCCCCATCACACCTCTGCTGCTGCCACTGCTGGCCTGGTTAACTGAGCCTTGGGTGGCCTTAGGCGGCCGGGCAGCCAACATCCGGGCTTGCCTGCACCTCGGGCCAGCCCTGGGCAGCTGTGGGGCTGAGGGGACTGGGGGGCTCCAGAGGCATGCACGCGGAGCAGCCCGGCCCACTGGGGGGTGGGCCCGGCCTTGCCGTGCGCCTGCCGCCCTGGTGGGGCTGAGGGAACTGGGTACTGCCATTTGTGGCTATGGGCACTGCCATCTTTGAGAATGGGGCAATTAGCATATTCCCTCCTTATTGGCTGTGGGTGCTGCCATCTTTGCGATGGCATGAGGGTCAATTAGCATATTCCCTCTTTATTAGATAGGATACTCATTATAGCACATTCTCTGTCAGGTTTGTTGTGCTTTATGTATTAACTGATTAAATTTCCACAATCACCACAGGAGACAGGTGCTAATATTACCATGCCCATTTTAAAGATGGAGATACTGAGACAAGCAAAGGATAATTTATTTATTCAAGGTCATAAGAGAGAAAGTGAGGGAGCTAAGATTAGAATCCAT